TCAGCTTCAGGTTTAGGATTCAGGACTTAACATGTAACTGGACTTTTCTGTTCAGCTTAGGGTTTTGGATTCCAGGCTTAAAAAATGACTGGATTTTTTCTATTCAGCTTCGGGTTTAGGATCCAAGGCATATAACATAATTGCTCTGTTCAGCTTATGGTTTTGGATTCAGGGCTTAATAGAAGACTGGGCTGTTTCTATTCAGCTTCGGGTTTAGGATTCAGTGCTTAGTATATACCTGGATTGTTTCTATTCAGCTTAGGGTTTTGGATTCTTGGCTTAGTATATAACTGGATTTTTTCTATTCAGGCTTTCATCGTGCGGTTTAGTGGCAACAGCTGACAATGGAATCCCAGCTAGATGCACTCCTTTCTTTAGGTTCAAACATTATGCAGGGGACAAGTTCCAGGATAAGCAGAACACCCAAAGATGTCGTTCCGAAACTCCATGTTTGCATCTATTTGCAGAAGCCTGCAACAACCTTCGAGATCTAACAGTGACATCAAAGGCAAAGTACAGATATTACAACCCTCAACTACCGACCATCAACCCACAAGACCTCCCCAACCGGATGCCACAAATGCCTGATCCTGACATGGCTGCATCCTATAGCCAAACCCTCACACGGAACCCCCTGACCCCTTCTCGAAACTCGAGCTCAAAAAAACGCTGAAACCCGGTAAAACAAAACAGTTCAATCCTCCAAACCCCAAGACCCTGAGACCTATACATCCGGACACGAAACCCTACACCCATCTTGAACACCTCTAGTACTACATCTGAAGATCAGAAGATCAAGCTTAAATGAAGCTCTAAGCCCCAAAACAACTAAAACACCACGCCCTTAAAACTAAACCCTATGACCAGCCAAGCCTCAGTTAACAGAGCAAAGAGGGTCCAACAGGAATCAGAATCCAAAACCTGTGATTGTCATAGTCTTTTGGAACCTAACAATCAGATTCCATTCCTGTAGGGTTCCAACATTACTACAGATACTTTCAGGCCAACATCTATAGCATACAGGTACATGGGCCGCTGGGAAAATCCATAGCAACACAGAAGGCCATCTAGGCATAAACCTCTAACCCCAAACCCCTTCGCACCGAATACCCTAAACCCTACGCCCTCAGCTACAGCCCTAAACCCTACACTTGACTTACACTCCCAGACCCTAAACCCCTGAAGCCCTGAAGCCCTACACCCAGAGCTCCCGAGATCGGGGCTGATCGGTGTGGAGAAAGTGGAGCAAAGCTTCCAGGGCCTTGGCTAGAAGCAGGACTGTCTGCCCCGGGAAGAATTGAAAGTTCGGGTCTTGTTTATACACTTTAACTTTAGGGCCCTTTAGGGTTTAAACGCGTTTAGGCTTTAAAATTGAAGAAAGAAGTATACGGGTCACTTTTGATCCGCCGGGGCAGGAATTAAGTATTAATTTATTAAGTATCCCAAGCCCGGATAGTGTATACTTTGGCCTTGCCGGACTTCCTAGTTTGGTAGGTCAGCGTGTCCTATTTAGCCCGTAGGTTAGGGATGAAGCGTGGGCAATGGGGTTCAGCGAGTACAGAGGGGTGGGGACATTTGGATTAGAGGTTCTGGGCTTATAATTAAGCCTTAACCCTAAAACCTCTAAGACTCTAACCCTGAAGCCCTAAACCCTAAAACCTCTAAGACTCTAACCCTGAAGCCCTAAAACCCTAAAACCTCTAAACCTAAACTAAGGGCTCTCAGAGAGGATGCGCAGGGTTTGAGGGTTGGGGGCTCATAGAGTTTTTGGGCTCACCGGGTTTAGGGATTCGAGGTTTCAGGTGAATGAGGCTTATGTGCTCTCTGTTGAGGAATAGAGAGGCTGATGGTGTTATGGATTCCGGGAGTGCAAGGTTCGGTGACTTTGGAGTTTAAGATTTGGGAATCTACGGGGTTCAGGCCTTACAGTTTCAGGTCTACATATATAGTATCCCTTGTAGTTCCTTTTTTTGGTTAAGCCAGTTCTATATTCAGGATCCTATCAGAGAACCCCAAAGAGGAACTACAATGGAGACTATAGGTAGGATTTTGAGTTCGAAGGCTAGGGGTGCGGCTGTCAGTAGTGACTGTGATAGGAAGTTGAGTTCGTAACAACTACCCTCTTGATACATGCCCGTTTTTTCTAAACGCACGTCAGTGTATCCTCAGAGGAAGGGTACCTGAGCCCTGCAGCGAGCGCAACAAACTATCGGCAGGCTAGACTGCAGGGCGTAGGAAGGCACATAGACACCGGCTACTACTAGGCCTAGAAGTATCCGCCTTACGTGGTTTGCTCCTGAACCCTACGGCTCTACGAGTCTTGAACCGTAAACGCAGAAGCCCAGACTAAGTATGTGAGAACAAGAACCCAACACCAACACCCTCGATTTTTGTTGGCATAGATCAGGTTTGGCGTTTAGGAGTACGGCTTACGGTCTAAATTAGGGCTGGAAGTGCAGATTATAAGGATTTAAGTCAGGCCAGAATTGATCAACAAAAGACGACAGTAGGGCTAAGGGCAAGCCGGAAAACCTGAACCCAATTCCCTGGATCGTACCATTTTGAACTTAACTTCGCTTCACGGCGGTCTCGGCAGCTTTGGTCTGTTGTGTATGTACACCACCAACGAGGTCGGCAAGGCCCTGGCTGTATGTATAAGAACCTCAAAGACATGGCATCGCAATCATCTCCCGCCTAGACCAACCACGGCACCTTCTCAAAACATGGAACTCTAAACCCCTAAACTCTTTTCTTCTAGGTTCTAGGTGCCACACTATAGAGTCACTGCAATTCAATGGTCGCTCTAAAGACATCTCCCAGAACAGCTTCGAAGCAAAGACAGAGGCCTTGCGCACCCCTCTCAGCACTGCCCCCGGAACATGGAGGGATCGCTTGGGGTGACCGTGAGGTCTATGCGCCCTGAAATACCCAATCTATAGATTTACCGTAGCCGCCAACTCAACTCCTAGCAGGAAACCCAAGGCCCTAATTCAGCGTCTTGAAGCCTCGATGCATACTTGAAGGATCACGGGACTTCGTAAGTAAGGTTATAAGTCCCCTATATTGGGTTTATAAATATAGTTACCTGAGTTATAACCCTACTTACTAAGCCCCATGATCCTTTAAGTACTGGACATGCGATTTGGGTCTGCAGGTGAGTTCGAGGTTAAGGGCTTATAGTGCTTTCTCACGCTTTGGGAAGACTGACAATTGCCAAACATGTGTTTTCCGGAAAGCGCTGGGTGCTTCCACGGCTTCTATCGAAATCCACGGGCAGCTCACGGGCAACTGACTTGCCAAATGCTGTAGCACTTGGAAACATCTTAACCATGACGATTGACATGCAGGGTGTTTTTCAGCAACACGGCTCCTTTTCAGCAAGCACTTAAGGGTAGAAGCATGCAGACAGATCCGACCACGACTAGCCTCCAGCTTGTGTGTTTTCCCGAAGGAGAGAAATACTTCAACTTCAGTTTTGAACAAGACACCTGCTATGCCCACACAGGACGAAGAAAGCCCAAAGCCAAACACAACAATTAAGGTACAATAACCAGAGTCCAACGCGAACCAGACGGTCACCAATACAGCGATCTTCTGTCCGGATCCCTCCGAGGCGGGAGGTGCAAGCTACGGGCTTCAACTTGGTCTTCGGAGGACCCAGCAGACTAGTCTTCTGTTTGTTGTTGTGGGCTTGCTGACGGTTATTTCCCTAAGGGACAATATACCTATACAGCTTTGACTCTCAAGTACCTATACAGGAAGGCCCTAAAGGCCAAAGTACCTAACATGCCAAATAAACTACTTGACTCAATAAACAAACAAGGATCCTTAGGGCACCCTAGGATGTAAGGTTTAGTCGTTTAGGGTTTAGAGTTTAGAGTGAATGGCTGGTCTTAGGCTCTCCGTTCTAGGCTATAAGTTTACGCAAAGGAAGCTGACAGCTATATTATCTCACTACATACCTAAACCCTAACCGCCCTAAACGCAAACTGATAACTGTTAACTCCTATTTCGCAAGAACCCTGCCCTAAACCCTAAACCCGAAACCTAACTGTTAACTCCTATTCCGCAAGAACCCTGCCCTAAACCTTAAACCCGAAACCCTGGATTCATGGCGCGGCTGCCCGAAAAGCTCCCTAAACCCTAAACCCGGCTGCCCTAGAAGCTCCTAATTCTAGAACCCTCAAGACGAGAACCTTGAAGTTCTCAGCCGCCGACTTCAGAGTTCAAGGGCTGAGAGGGTTTAGGGTTTTAGGAGTTATAGGCTTTAGGGCTTTAGGGTTTTAGGGCTTTAGGCTTTTATGGTTTTAGGGTTTAGGATTTATAGGGTTTAGGGTTTTAGGGTTTAGCGCTTTAGGTTTTTAGGGTTTTAGGGTTTAGGGTCTTGGGGTTTAGGGTTTTCAGTCTTAAGTTTCGGCTTGGGCTCCTTCAACCATCTTTCCAGGCTTCTGCAACTGGATGAGGGCTTGAGCCCACTTTAGGGTTTAGGGTTTAGGGTTTAGGGTTTAGGGTTTCGGGTTACCTATCCTTGAACTCTAAAAAGGGTATCTTCCTGCCCCTAAACCCCGAAAACATCTTCCCATCCCTAAACCCGAAACCTCGCTCTCCCTCAACCCTACCTATAGTCTCCATTGTAGGTCCTTTCTTTTTGGGGATACCTTATAAAAGCCTTAATATACAATTGGTTAAACCAAAAAAGGAACTACAATGGAGACTACAGGTAGTCTTGAATCCCTTCAGTCACGGCTCCCTCAACCCGACTCCCTCAACCTCAGCCCTGAGACGCTAAACCCTAAACATCCCTAAACCCTAAACCCTCCATCTATAAAGCTCATGCATCTCTCGCCTGTGTCACCCCTGATAGGTTCAGGGCTTAGGGACAGAAGCCCAAATACTTGCCAATGTTTTTCCTTGCAGTTCCTTGGTATAATTAGAGTATGTTCTATCCCCCAAACCCAATTCTAGCTACTAAGCCCAGGCCGCGTTCTTTAGCTCACCTTTCACGCGGACTCCTTCGCCTTGGGCAAAATTTTTGAGAGCTCCCCCTCTTTGTGCATCCTCGGCGGAGTTTAGGGTTAAGGGCTTGGGTGTTAGGGCTTGGGGTTTAGAGTTTGGGGTTTATGGTTGGGGCTCAGGTTTAGGGTTTATTTGCATCCTCTGCTGTGGGTTTGCACTCATGTGCAATCCAGGTGGCTGGTTTGTGGAAGGGTGTCCGTAAATCTGCAAGGGTTCTACGACAGAGCATTGCAAGGTCTCTGCAGGCTCTACATACCTGTATCGTAAATATATGTATGCATGAGTGTGTCTGTATATATATATATATAATATATATATATATATATATATATATATTTGTTTATATACAGACACACACACATATAAGCTTATATTTCCATGTGCATACGCACTTTTACTTTTGTAGGAAGCCCTTGGAGGACAAAGCATAAAGTGTATGGCTACATGGACCCTGAGAATAGTAATGTTGGAAGTAGCTCATGGACGTTGTACGATGTCTCTACTTGTGTAAGGACATAGATTGGGCGTTCCGAAGATTCGCATGTCCTTTTTGGGGTTCCTCTAAATAGTTGTTTCGAAGGGTCTATACTTGGCTGCCTATGCCCGAAAACTTGGTAAAGTGTTGAATGAGTTTTGACGAAAGGTCTGAGAACGAATCAGACATGTAAGACAACCGGAGTCTCTATTTCTGGGTGCAGGGACTCAGAGATTATGCTCCGGCTTCGGGTCAGCCTAGAGTCTAGCACTTTACGTTTGAGATTTGCATCTTCCTCAGAAGTGCGATTTCAGGAGTATCGAGAGTCAAACAGTAAGCCAAGCATCTGCATGACAATGTCGCAACCGCCAATGAACTCGGCGTCCACATACCTTCCGGCTCGAGTGTTGAAAGGGCTGGTAAAGGAAGTCTCGGAGTTTGATGACTATGATTGTTATGCGAACCCCTGAACCCCTGAATCCCAAAAATGTTGGCACACTGCATGCCTGAAACTGCACCAAGGGGCAGCTGCGGGATCGTAGGCCAATCTGAGAACTTCTTGACGCCTTCGCGCACCTCTGCCATGGCTCACTTCAGGCTTCGGAGTTCCCTTCAGCCCGAACCGCAAAACCCTAAAACCCAAAAGACCCCTAAACTCCGAAGCTTGAACATCTTAATCTAACTTCAAACCGCAAGAGGATTTGGAGTTTCAGCTCCGTGGAGATGAGAACTCATGGATGAAGTGCTCTCTATAAAGCGTCTTACACTGCCTACTGCGCATGTACTGCTGTTCTGCATCGTCTAGAACCTGGACTTGGGATCATAGGGCTTTGGCTGTTGGGCTCTTCAGAAAATCGGACATCTTGTATGCCTTATTCGCAAAGAAAACCCTTGCAAAACACGTATTAAAAAACAAAAAAACATGCTAGATAATCCTTTCAAAGGCCATAATCAAATCCGGTCGGAGAACATTACACAAATTTTGCTTGACGGAATTCAAGCACCAGCAGGAAGGCGAGGACGAATGCTTTTACGATGCAGCCCGAAACCCGCCCGGCCCAGATTCCTGAACCACGGTTCCTACAAGCACCACAGCATCATGAAAGGTGTGAGTGTCTATGTCTAATACCACCTCATTGACGATTCGGTTGACTACGCAAGCAAACGTTACAACCACTAACCTTCTTACTGAATCCCTGATCCCTCGATCAAGTAGACCTTCAAGCCTTAAAACCTTGAGCGCTGAAGCATTAAGTATTCGATCCCTCAAGTAGACTTTCAAGCCCAAACAAAAAGTACAAAGCCCTAAACCCTGAAACCCTAAACCCTAATATTCTAAAGCCCTAAACCCGAAAACCCTAAACCTCAAAGCCCTAAACCCCAACACCCAAAACCCTGAAAAGTCCTGTGACCCCTCCGCCCCGAGCCTCGGGATATTTCAGCACGTCAACATAGGCGTAGTCAGAGAAGCCCTCATCTGCCAGCGCCTGTGCAACCTCCGCTCGGGTGTAGGGCTACGGGTTTAGGGCTTATAGGTTTTACGGCTTGGGGTTTAGGGTTTAGGGGTTTAGTTAGGGTTTAGGGTTTAGGGCTTAGGGTTTAGGGCTTATAGGGTTTTGGGATTTAGGGTTGTGGGGTTTAGGGTTTAGGGTTGGGGTTCCGCAGCTCCGGATCGAGCAGATTTACAGTAAGGTTACATTCACGATCTAGACATAATACCCACACACCCTCGATTCGCACAACATTGGAAAATACAAAATTTCATGTCAACGATTCTCATTTACAACTGCTCTTCATTCCCACAATACAAAGCCGAATCTCCTATCCTCAGAATGACTCACTCATGATAACTCAGTAAGGCCGAAACCCTGAGGCCGAAACCCTGAGGCCGAAACCCTAAACCCGAAACTATAGGGCCGAAACCCTAAGGCCGAACTAGGGCCAGGGCCGAAACCCTAGGGTTTGCAAGTGGTAACGATCGGTAGCTGCTTCTGGACGAGCTGGCGGATGCGAACAGTCTGAGCAGCCGTAGGGTAGTATGGCTCGGACTAAGCGGAGCGTCTAAACCCTGGGCAGCCCATCGGCCTGTTTTCGATCTGCAAATGTCAGCTGCGTAGCACGACGTACCTGGAAAGAGACAGGAGAGCTCAGAGTTCTCAGAACTTGCATGGTCCCCGCCTCCTTCCTTAAGCTTCCCCAGAAAGGATTGTTTCAAAGCTCTTCTGGCTTTGATGCTGCTTGATCACTCCCCTGATCTTTAAAACCCCCGACTCTGGATTTCTTCACGGACTGCTCAAGACGCTGCAGTCCCATCTCCTTCCTCCGCCGTGCCGACATCATCGACTCGTCCTCCACCAGTCTCCATCGATGTCCCATCTTGTAGTACAGGTCGTACTCTCTCTGGCCTCCACTCTTTGTCAGAGTGTTAGCCAACTGAGCTTCGCTGTGCACCCAGCGCATCTCTACCTTGGTGTTGCTTTGTGATTCTTTCAACGCCAGCAACTCGATTGATGTTCTCTTCTCGGCCCCTTTGATCACCAAGACCTCGGTCTCCAGCTTGTCATACACATTCCGGCTGTCCGTAACTACGCATCCACGGATGCGCTCTACTGCTTCGTCCGGCCTATGCAGATTTGGCTTTCCAAACATCATCTCACTCCACTGGAACCTTGTGGAGTACAGATTGTCCTCTCCATTCACTGCTGCCTGGGCTTCTGAAGACCCTGGTGATCGGCAGCTTCGGTCGATCTTCTGCGAGTGCCATGTCACAGGTGTGACGTCGCATACCTCACCCTTCAGGATCTTTGCGTCCGTTGCTCCCACAAAGATCCCTTGAGTGGAACCGCCGTCAGGGCGATTCCCGTTGGCCGCGTCCACCCATGCCACAAACATGATCTCCGTCTCCGGGGAGAAGTTGTGAACTTTCATGCGGTAGCTCTGCTTCGTCTTTGCGTGGTTCAACAGGATTTTTGAACGGATGATCGTGTCGACGGTGCTCTTCGTTACCTCAGACAAGAGTAGCCCTACTTCTGCCGCAAGGTACGGTGCGACTTGCTGGGCGTGCCAGCTGAGGCCTCCTAACAAGGCACGCAGTTGAGACTTCTCTCTCTCGCTCGTGGGTTCCTCTCGGTTCTTACGGCGACTAGCGTTTACGCCAATCTCACTCAGGTTCTCCAAGTAGTTAGGCTGAGACAACTCGAACCCACCCTCAACTTGTTCCACAACCACCCCGCACTGAGTAAACTTGCCCTGCTCCCAGTCACCCCATTTGAAACGATCCTTGATGGCCTGAAGCTTTGCCTCCCACAACGGGTCCCCGCTTTTTCCTCCAAACAGGAAGTCATCAACATGTCCACTGATCAAGCCTCGAAGTTCTCCCTTTTCACGAAGTGCCCAACAGCAAGAGTCCGACCATAGGCGCTCGAATCCAAGTTCCCTCAAGAATTCATCCACTGAACGAAACCATTCAAGAGGAGCGTCCACCAACCCGTAACAGGCCTTCTGGACCTTGGTAATGCTTCCAGTCGGTACACCAAGTGCGGCGCAGATCTCTGGACAAGGGATGCAATACAACTGATCAGGATAGGTTCGTGACTGAAGGAAAGCTCCAGTCACGTCCCCCTTCTGCACCTGCCATCGCTTCCATCCAGCCATCTGTAAGAGAAGTTGGCGAGTCTGACGGGTCATTACGGGAGAGGTGGTCGAGCGGTGCTCGTAGCCCCCGTCTTGGTAGCCAAGAAGCACTGCACGTGCCTTTGCCTTCCGCTTCCCGTCTTCGCGAAGCTTCCAGGTGAGTATCCACCTCATATTGATGGCTTGACTGCGATCCGGTTTGAGGTGCTCCGGGAGGATCTCGAAGGCTTTTGAAGCAACAAATTTTTTGACCTCGATGGCTTTTGCTCCGCGGAACTGTTCAAGATCTTGCGCAGACATGCGCTTTTCCGATAGTTCAACTGCCCGTCGGCGCATGCTCCCAACGAAGTAGCTTCCTAAGTTGTTCCATGCCTTCTCCTGACCGCGACGGCTCTCTGGGAGAGCTATCTCGATAGCCACCGCCGCCTTGTCGTCTCACCAGTAGGAGCACTGCTGCTCTGGCCACGCCTCGTCCTTGATGTCGCTCCACCAAGCTGTGGCCTCCATGGCTGCCGGTCCTTTGCTGGAACTGCCCCGAGTGGGGCCTCGGGACCGCGAGCGCTCGCGGTTCTCCTCTGTCCCGGCGGTCTCGTCCGGGTTGTGCTCCATGTCCACGTCCGGCCCTGGAGCTTGGTCTCCTCCCGGCCGTTTGCTTCGCACTCGGTAGCGCGTTGGCTGCAGTTCCTCTTCGGGCCTTTGGGCCCTTTGCCACTCGGCAGTCTCCGGGACTTCCTTGGAGATGTCCTCGAACCTGTTGCCTCCGATCTGCTCGGAGACGGTGTGGAACGTCCATGGGGCCTGTTGCTCACTGGGCTCGGCAATTGCCTCCAAGAGTTCTTCCCTCTCCGTAGCACGTCGTAGCTGTTCAGGACTGCACTTTAGCAGGCTCCGGCCTTTCACAAGCCAGACAGCTCCTCCTGGCCGGAGATTCCCAGACTCGTCACGCCTCGTCTCGGTTGCCAGGATTCTGGCAGGTCCCAAAAACCTTCCGTGCTTCCCTCCAGGTTGGCGCCGCCCCTTCTGGGCGTCTTGGCACCGCCAGTAGAAAACCAATTCTCCCGGCTGGTAGTCGTAGCAGGGACGGTGGCGGGAATGCTTAGCCCGCAGGATTCTCTGTTGAGCTTGCCATTCACACAAAGCCTTCTCGGCCTCACTTCGTAGCTTGACTGCCCTAGCGAACTCGCCTTCACTGTTTTCGCACAGGATATCTCTGGGAAGGGCGTGGCACGCGGGTATGTACCGGCCCGTTTCATCCGGTGCTTGGCCTAAAACATGCTGTGCCGGTGAAAAACCCCTGATGATTTCTTTGTTGTTAAAGGCCGTAGTAGCCTCGGACAACAAGGTTTCCACAGAAAGTTCCGGGTCATGCATGCTCAGCTTCTGCATTACATCCTTAGTACCTCCTACGGCATTCTCACACGCAGCAATCTTCCAGTGAGCCTCTCCGGGGATGATGTCCAGCAGTATGCCATGGCGGTCGCACCAATCCTCCAATGCTTGACTTCTGAAGGCTCCTGCTGGGTCGAGCCTCAAACACTTCGGGTATCCGAAGTACTGCACCCATCCCTCTTGGAGGTAGTGAATACACTGTTGAGCATTCGGGGCCTGTCGCGGTCCTTTAGTGATAATCCTAGTGGTTCGGTATCTGGAGCCCTCATCAATGATCAACATGAAGTACACATGTTCCTCGGTTTCGGGATGAACCCAGTGCCCAATGTCGGCACTGATTGTCGTGAGTTTTGGGGGCAGAGGCTCCAGCGAGGCTAAGTTCCTGTTCTGAGGCTTTCGTTTTTCTTGACACACCGGGCACGAGAAATCCTCAGCAAGTTTCAGGGTCCTTTCATCGACTCCCCTACGTCTTAAAGCTTGGACCATGTGTTTGGGGTGACTATGACCAGTAGCACAATGAAGCAAGTACAATTGACGCTTGATACGTTCATCCTGGCGGCTAGTCCTAGCTTCAGGCTCTCGGTGTTCAGCAGGGTACGCAGTTTCGGGGCTGTTCGGGATCGGGAACCCCAACTCCTTCAATCGATCTCTTTCATCCCTACTCAAATGCTGAAAGCCTCGACTCACGAAGACCGTCAAGACCCACCTATTCCCCTGCCAAGCACAAGTGCCATGCCAAGCCTTAGGTGAGAAGACCACGGGTTGCATCTGAATGTCAATCTCACAACCCTCAACACTTTCCCCTTGACCATTCGTCCGAACTGAAATCCGGCCCTTCCTCCCACACAAAGACTCCTTGCCCTCAATCCACAAGCCCCCTCCCTGATACGATCCGAATCCCACACTTGCGTTGGGGTGCTCTGGGTCGTTGTTGCAGTCACGGTGTATCGGAAGGCAGCTTCCGTGGTTCAGCGCGAAAGAGCTCCATTGGAGGTGTTTTGGGAGAAGGGCACGCAGTGTTCGATTAATGCATCTACAGAGTTCGGGGAGCTTGTCCGTTCTGTTGGTAACCCCATATTGGTTTCCATAAGCATACGCTCCAAACAACGAGTAGTCGCCTGACGTCTGTTGGTTCCTACGGGAACTACCGGTGTTTTGGAGGGGATGCGCTTCAAGGATAGTCTGGACACTGCTCAAGGTGGCAGGCTTGCTGTTGTTGTTGGCTTGCTTGGCTTGGGTTTCAAGGTTCTGGGCCTGGCTCTGGCTTAAGTATCCACTCTCAGTCTCTTCTGTCTGTGGCTTCTGAACCAGGCAACTTCCACACTCCTTGCCGGGTGTGAGCGTGGCGCATGAGCAGCACAGACCCAGTCCGAACTTCGGGTGAAGGCACGAACTACCTGTACATTCCTGAACCACACCTCTGAAATCCTGTTCCTGCCTTAAAGCCTCATACACCAACCTGCAGAATTCCGGGGTGTACCTGCCTGAGTTTCGGGCGTTGGGTCCTTCGCACTTAGCATGCTTGTAGCTAGTCACACACCTACATGGCCTGTGCATGCGTTCTGACAACCGGGCATGGGACGTCACCAATCGCCATCCTTTCTGCATCAACTGGCCATCATCACCACGAAGACCAACAGAACATCCCTTCACCACACAAGTGTGAAGCCCCATGTGCAACCGAAGATGTTGAAGGACTGGGAGCCTCCAGGCCTCAGACCTTTCTGCAAGCTCCACGGTGACATGTATCCCCAACTGCACACAAACTTTCACAATCTCAACAGTGCTCTCGTAGATCCTGTTCGCCACGGCTCTCTTAGCCTTCAAGTCTTGAATTTGCGCGGGAGTGCGCTGGTTGATGCTTTGCAAGGGCGAGTAGGGTCCGCATGGGGGTGACAACCAAACATGCTTAGGCTTCAGGGCCCTAACCTGTTCAAGGGTAACTGCTAAGCCCCCCGGGGAAGAAAGGTCATGCCCGCACCACAACGAGCATCTACAGGCGCTGTCACTTCGGCCCGTCCTGGTCTGGAAAGTTTTGCTCAAGAGGCTGTCTGGTTCACACATCACTTCAAGCAGCTCCATGCGGTGTTCCCCTAGAAGACCCTCAAACATTGAAGGAACCAGATCCCTGGCCTTATGTTCAATCACCCTTGACGCCTGAAGACTCAATTGCTGTCCTTGTGGGTCATCTCGGCGTCGGCTCGGGCCACCACCTTCCGCGGCATCTCGGTCTTGTCCTCCTTCATCGCTTTCACTTCGGTGACCAACTGCGCCACGAGCGTTGTGAGGTTCGCCACCGCCTGGTCCGTTGAGCTCGAACTCGAAGTCGTCGCCCCGCGCTCCTCGGCCTCCTCCCTCGGGTAGCCGGCCTCGGTTGGAATCTTCGTGCTCTTCTTGGCCTTCGCCTTGGGCACAATCTTCACATCCGTGCCCACATTCTCGTTCATTGCGTAGTCCCGTGTCCACCGGATGAAGCGCTTCAGGTAGATCGACACGTCGCCCTCCATCTCCGTCTGTCGGGCCCACTCCACATACTTGTGCTCGGTCTCTAGCACATCGCGGTAGGTCCTCGAGGCAAACTTCCCGAAGCCCATGAGGTCGGCCCCCATCGGCGTGGTGCGCTCCAAGATCTTCGCCATGGTCTTGCGCTGCAGGGTGCCGATCGTGTCGTTCGACGTGGCAAGGACCTGGTACTCGTCGGCCACGTACTTGATCAAGTCGGCTTTCTTCCGACTGGCTTTGTTGAGCTCGGTCGTGGCAATCTGCAGCGGCGTCCGCTCCTTGGTCGCCTTGAGGGCAGGCATTTCCCCCCGGTCCATCAAGTCCTGGATCCTCTGCTTGAGCTCCAGCTTGCCCCACGTCTCGGGTGGTTCCTCCCCGTAGGCACGCAAGTGCAGGACAAGGTCGGGTTTGCTCATGCTGTCCATGGCGACGGCGCGAATCACAGCTGGGTACTACACGGGCCCTAGGTTCTGAGCCGGGAGTGCTGCCATCTTCGCCAGCTGGTCGATATTCTCCATGATTGCACTTCGGTCTCACTGCACTGGCTCCCCGGCTGCAACATCCACTCGCGCATTCCGATCTGAAATCCAAAGTTTCTAACCCCCTAGAACTACCAACACTGCGGTTATCACTAGCATTCCCCTTAGAGTGATCAACGGCAGCACTGGTGTCTATGCTCCCTGAAAAAGTCTGCACGTCCTTCCTTTTCCCGTCAGGGTCAGGATCAGGAAGGAGATGTCCCTAGCGCCTGAGATAGGCGGAAAGACCCGGGACCTCTCGCTCGGCTGTTTCAGCCTGAGCCATCCAGTCCTCGGTCAAAGGCAGCAGCTGGTGACCTGACTGGCCTCGAGTGAGGCGCAGGATTCGCTTGTCATCGAGGGCCCGAAAAACCGCTAAATCATCACGAAAGTCGATGATGGCCCCCAGCCGCCTCAAAGCCTCTACACTAAGCAAAATCGGTGACTGCCCTTTGTCAAGAGTATGTATGCTCAGCTCACCGGGCAGTCCATTCGCTGACACTTCCAGCTTCGCCGTGCTCATGCAGCGATTCTCGGTGCTGTTCCCGAAGGAGAACGTGGGCGGGTTCACGGAGTTGATCTCTTTGATCTTGGTCGCCCTGTGTTTGCGGCGATTCTGTTCCATCACTGCTTCGAGGGCTGCTAAGCTCCCGATTGTCTGGGTGGCCCCGCCGTCGATGACACACATGCCCTGCCGAACAGCCTCCTGGGTGGTCAAGAGGTTCTCCGCGGTCTCCGTGGCGAGGGCCGTCTGGACGTAGCCGGCGTAGCCATCCTGGGTGATCATGAAGTTCTCCGCGGTCTCCGCGGCAAAGGTCGTCTGGACATAGCCGGCGTAGCTATCCTCCAAGTGCTCTGCTAGGCATACGAAAGGTGCTTGCTCATTGGAGCCGCTGCTGCCGCGCCTGGGCTGCAGTCCCCACGGGTTTGTTGGGGCAGTTCGCCGCCCTGTGGCCCCGTTGTCCACATCGCAAACAGTCCAGGTTGGAGTCGTCCCGGGGCCGGTTGTTGAAGCCGCCGGAGCCTCGGGAGTAGCCGTGACCACCTTGGTAGTACTTGCGATTCTGCTTCACGACCTTCTGTTTATGCCTGGCTTCCTTTAAGGTCCTTTTGGCCTCGTACATCGTGGCCAACGCCTCCTGAGCCTGGCCCTCGGCATCCGTGATGAGGGCGATCTCCTCGGCATTGAGTCCCTCCGCCTCGAGCTCCTCTAAGGTGTAGCCGCCCGCGGTGTCTTCGAAGTCCTCATCGTTCCCGTCGTTCGCCTCACCCATGTAGCTCTGGTACCGCCGACTGTCTCGCTTCTTCGTTTCACCCTCGGGGAACTGGTTCCGTAGCTCCTGTCCCACCCGTTGTGGGTTGAAGTCGCCATTCAGGGCCGTGACCACCAAGTTCCGCTCGTTGTGGTCCAAGTTGGAGTCCATCAACAAGTACCAACCTTGGATGAAGGCCGGGAGCAGCTCCTGCCCCCCTGCATTGACGATGCTCGACCCCGCTGTGGAGCTTGCAGACGACCAGTCCCAGCTGTCCCCTGATCCATACCAAGAGGACTGCCAATTCCAGCCACCATAGCCGCTTTGTAGTAGGGCCGCCATGAATGCCACCCGGCGTTGTGAATCTCCTCGGAGTTGTCGGTGGCCTGCGTGGATCCATCCGCTGCCGCGTCGCTCGCGACATTTCCGGCGACACCATCGTCGCCGTCTGCTGCTGGTGTCCACTGTCGGCCCCAGCCCCATGTAGAGGAGGAGTCCAAGCTATCTCGCCGTCCATGTGGCCATGATGCCGTCGAGGTTCTGGCCCCGCCACTCTCGTAGTGGGGCTGCACTCTCCTCATCGCCTGGCATGCTCGCATGTACGCCTCGTTCTTTCGGGTGATGAACTCGTTCATGCTCTCCCCGCTTCTCCTTCTCGTTCCTTTGAAGTACGTCGCCAGCAGGTCCGTGACTTCATTCACGCGAGGTTTGCCCAAAGCTTGACGAAGGTGATTCATCAGCTTTGCGACCCCGCCGCGGTATGCCACCCATCCCGCAGCTTGCCCTGCCACAAAGCGCTTGGCCGCCCCCGTCAGCTCCTGAACAAGCTTTGGTCCTGCCGTGTACCTCTTCTCCCACGTCAGACTTTGTTCCCACAGCAAGGCCGCCTCCTCATACTGGACGAAGCTGCTAGCCTCGCCTCCCCATGTTGGGATGCCCTCCTTGGTGCGGGAGCTCACTGCCGTGGATGCTTCCGTCGTCACACTCATTGCTTATCTCCAGAAGTCCCCCCTTCCGGAGCCGTAGGTCCCTGGATCGATCACCGAGCCCGTGGTTCCACTTCCACGGGCTCCGCTACCATGCAAGTGGTAACGATCGGTAGCTGCTTCTGGACGAGCTGGCGGATGCGAACAGTCTGAGCAGCCGTAGGGTAGTATGGCTCGGACTAAGCGGAGCGTCTAAACCCTGGGCAGCCCATCGGCCTGCTTTCGATCTGCAAATGTCAGCTGCGTAGCACGACGTACCTGGAAAGAGACAGGAGAGCTCAGAGTTCTCAGAACTTGCAGGGTTTAGGGCTTCAAAGCAAAATTTGCCTTGAACCACGAACTATTTAGGGTTTCGGCCCCCGAACCCTGAAAACTTCGTGGCTCAAGGCAAAAAAACTTCGTGATTTAAGGCAAATGTTGCCTTGAACCATGAATTATTCAGGGTTCCCGGCAAATTTTGCCTTGAACCACGAAGTGTTCAGGCCCCGACCCTGAAACCTTCGTGGTTCAAGGCAAAATTTGCCTTGAACCACGAAGGTCATTAAAGTGTAACCTATAATCTTGTAGAGAGGCTTAGGGTTTTGAGATTTAGGGTTTGGGATTTAGGGTTTAGGGTTTAGGCTTGGGGGTTTAGGATTTAGGGTTTTGAGATTAGGGGTTCAGGGTTTAGGGTTTGGGAGTTTAGGGTTTAGGGTTTTGAGATTTAGGGTTTGGGATTTAGGGCTTAGGGTTTGGGGTTTAGGGTTTACGGTTTAGGGTTGAGGGTTTGGGGTTGAGTGTTTAGGGTTTAGGGCTTGGGGTATAGGGCATGGGATTTAGGGTTTAGGGGTTTAGGGTTTGGGGGCTAATCTAACTGCTCCATTAAGGCTCTATAAGGGTTCTGTAAGAGCTCGATTAGTGTTCTATAAATTGCTTGCTTCTTTGCTCGATAAGGGTTATGCATTGTATAAGAGCCTTTTTCTTAAGGGTCGTTTTCCTCTTGCAGACATCTAGACATCTAACCATCTCTGGCTGCTAGCTGCAGATAGAGTCTCCACGAAAGGCTTCGAAAGTAAACCCTTTAACCCCAAACCGAGAGTGCTGGGTTTTGGCTTACCCCTTGCACTCAAAATCGGCTGAGAGACTGCGCGGGAGAAGCCGCACTGCGGCATGTCCTGGGCTTAGGGTTTGGGGGCTTGGGGTTTAGGGTTTCGGGTTTGGGGTTTAGGGTTTAGGGCTTGGGGTTTAGGGTTTCGGGATTTAGGGGTTGATGGTTTAGGGTTTGGGATTTAGGGTTTAGGGTTTAGGGTTTAGGGGGAATGGGAGCAGGGGGAAGGGGGCTCAGTGGTTCTGGGTAAAGCAGGTTTGGATACCGCGGCTCTTTCCCGGAACGTTTCATCTATGGATGGATGGAGATTTCTTTGGGGGGCTCCAAGTGCAGCCTCGGGGCCCTTAAAGGTAAATTTGCTGCCTACTGCCGGGAATCTTGAGATACACAAGACCAATCCGAAACAAAACATGACCTCCAAATTGCTGACAAAGCAGGTACTCTTTGTAGACTTCACAGCCCCGAAGTTGTATCAGTTGTAGACTGGAAGCCTGCTGGAAAATATCAAGCCCAAAACTTACAGTCATAAGAACCCTAAACTCTAATCCATTAATAATAGAACAGTTGAGGGCCAGCGGCTGGATTGCCTTTCATGAAAAGCACCACCTGCGGCAAGCGTAGCTGCAATTCTTTCGCTCTGACATGGCTGATGCTCATGCTCAGCCCTGAACCCTACAGCTGATGAAAAGACCTTGCAAAACCAACGCTGGGAAATATGGACAATCAGTGATCTTGTCCAGCCATGAATTTTGCTGTTCGTGCAGCTAAGGTCGTTTTGCAAAATCCTGCAGAATTGGGCATTGGGTGAACCGCTTCGGACCGGAGAGAGAAGGATCAAGAGACAGAGAGAAGAGAGAGATAGAGAGAGCGAGACAAACATAGAGACAGAGAGCGAGCGAGCGAGCGAAAGGGAGCGAGAGAGGCAGAGGCAGAGAGAGCGAGAAGCAGAGACAGCAAGAGCGACAGAGACAGACAAACACAGGGGCCAAGCCGGAAACATGGGGCTTCATCGTGAGTTTTAGTTTCGCTTCGGCCAGCGGTTAATATGTGTCGGCCTTGACAATTGGAATACCGGGTTCTGGGTTCCACCATATCATTACCGCTGGTAAATAAAACGTGTTCAGGGATATTAGTGAAAATAATTGCGACCCTTGTATAATGCGGGAGTCCACTCATTCCTTTGATGTCCCCGTTGGGTAAACGGAAGCCTTTATGACAAGAATTCGAACAGAGTGAGTGTAGTGGTATATTGTGTGGGAACTACAAGGCGTACTAGTACTAGTTATTCAGACCCGTATATATTGATACTCGTAGCCTCTCCATGACAAAATTTTGCGACACAGCATCTAGAAACCATCCTTGCAGCAGGCTGCGCAGGAGTTTCCCGCAATAAGAGCCGTCTTAAGTACGGACGTTAAGTAGTAGTCTCCTGAGAGAAGCCCCCGGAGAAAGGGACCGTCATCTCAATTCCTCAATACAGGAAGAATGCACCTTAAACTTGAACCCAAAAAGCCTGAATCACAAAGTCCTGAAAGTTGTCATGTTGCCAAACCCTAGACCCAAAACACCAACAGAAACACAGAGACGGGCCTTGTTTTCTGAGACCAGCTGCTTCAGCATATCCTAGCACATGTTTGGGTTCCAGTGTCTAGGGCTCCAGGCAGTTAATTAAAACTTTAGGGCAGGGGGCTCCGAGTGTTGTAGGCGGTAATTATAGGAGGAGCTTCGAGCAGGCTTCTAGAGACGTCCACTGGGCCACTGCGCGCTCTTCAACTTTCACTGCCACCGCCTTATTATTCTCACTTTCCGCTGCCTTCTTTTCGGCGGCCGGTTGCATCTGGATCTTCTGCGCGTCATTCGACGGTTCAGGCGTTCTCACCAATCGATTCCGTGCAACGGTGAGCACTTCCACTGGAGCCACTCTTTTGGCTCACCACCAGGCCCTGGATCGCTCCATCCCTTGGGATCCCCTATAAATCTATAAACCCTAAACCCTGAATCTGGGGCCAAGCTTGTTTCAGCCTTCGCTTCTGGAGCTTGGCATGACTGGCTCTTGCCATCGCGGTGCCAGAGAAAAGCTGATGGTAAGAGCTGAGGGGCTGAGGCTGAAAACTTGAGTTATGTAATTTGTAGGGGCTATAGACTTTTGGTACCGGGTTGGAGTATTTAAGAGCTCGAGGCTTACGGTTTTTGGGGCTGAGCATATTCAATGAATAGGATATCGCGTTCTCTGCTAATCGAGTTGGCTGTTATGACGTCTGCCAGCATGGGGGCGGACCGATGGAAATTGCGACTTGTGTCGGAGGTCGCCGTTCTTCGCAATTCCAGGGTGATTTGCCGTTCAGGCAGATTAGGCTCTGGTGTTTAGGGTTCTGATGGATTGCTTGTGGCGCTGCGCCCTACTTGAACCCACGACTGATCCCCTAAATCCTCTCTAGGTCCATCAAATTAGAGGCGACAACAGAACTTTGAGGGCAATGGATCGACAACCCCTTGACAAAACACCACATGAAGTAGGGCGTTCTGAGGAACAGGGTATTCAGCGAATGCGTGAACGGAGGGCTTTGCAGTCTGACGATGCGGGTCAACGGGTAGCTACATTCCAGTCAGAACTACAGGAGTGGTGGTTGTCAGCGAAGACTAAGTCAAGTATACGCAAATGACAGCTTGGCCAGTATTTACCGTAACCCTGCTCATGAACTCTCTGGCACAGTATCGCCAGGGACTCTTGAACAGTCCGGATCCAATCCAGAAGCCCTGAATACACAGCCCAACCCCTAAACTGTTGAGCCCGAGAGCCCTAAAACCACAGCCTTGTCCCCCGAAATGGGAGCTTCTGAACAACGAAGCTGATTCGATGTAGACACTGCAGATCAGCCATGGCCTGCACTTTGTTATCTTCCGCCCCGGCGATGTTGCTCTGCGGGGCGAAGTCCGGGTGACCGGAGAAGTGGCGACACAAAACTGCTGGTGCCTTACTCAGGGCAAGGGTTGAGGGCTCAGGGTTTAGGGCTTTAAGGCTTAGGGTTCGGGGGTGTAGGCGTTTTGGTTTGGTTTTCGGACTCGGGGCTTGGAGTTTGCTTGGGTTGAGGCTTACTTGCATGTCCTTCGACCCAGGGTTTGAAAGGTTAACCTTTGCGCGGAGCGTTTATAAGGGTTTAGGGTGAGACTGACCGGGCGGGAAACGACGACTTGGAAGGGTAAATGGTCGTGTTTCCTAAGTTGCGAGATAGTCGGTTTCGGGTTAAGGAGCTTGGGGTGTGGCGTGGCGGAATGACTAGTGGCGCCATGGAGTTGAACCCTCGGAAACTTCAAGGAGTTTTTAGGGTTTATCGGGCTTAGGGGTGACCCTAACCCTCCAGGTACCTACTATAAAGGGTCCTAGGAGCTCTAGTACCCTCTATAATAGGTACCTGGAGGCTTAGGGGTTAGAGTTGGGGCTCACTTCTTGACACGATAGACTGCCTCGGAGACTCTGATAGCAACACGAGCGAGGGAAAGCTCCCAAGGATGATCAACGCAATGGCAGTCATCCAGCAAAGCCTCTGCTAAGTATCAGCATGGAACCTTAACTCTAAAAGCTGTAAACATCGAGCACGGTTCCCAACTCCCCCAGACCGAAACATTGAAACGTAAGGCTATCCTGGCTTCTTGTCAAGGAACTAAACTTAAGCTACCATGACCTGGAACCGGGGTTTAGGGCTGAGGCAGCTAGTTGAATTAAGTTATCATACAGGCTCCCTAGTTAAGTAACTTCAACATACTTGTTCTAAAATCCTTAGCAAGAACCCAGCATTAGCCTGTTCAGCCCCAAGACCCAAACAACAATAGGAACACAAAGAAAGGACACCAAGAATTCCTAAACAAGCGAATATAGCCCTAAATCCTAAACCCATAGCCCTTGGACGATCAGCGAACAAGACCCCTGGCTTTGCTCAACGACTGAAACGCTCTGAGCCTCGAGTCCTGCAAAGGTAAGCTCCCGATACCCACAGTCTCTCTACAGGTTTATGGTTTAGTTTAGGGTTCTGGGCTTAACCATATATAATATCTGAAAAATCTCAATGTCCCAAAATCCTCTGCCCCAAACCGAAGACTGGTCTGCCGTCGACGGGTTTTGCAACTGATCACGAGAAAACGCCCAACAGATTCCGAAGCCGAGATAAACTACATCTGGGAATCTCAAGAGCCCAGCAAGAAACAAGGCCAAAACGCTGGTTCTATCATCTTCATGTAGACGAAATACACTGAAGTAGAGAATCTGAGTACAGAATCAGAACTCCAAACAGCTTCAAGTCCTGTTCTCATCGCGGCTCAAGTATGGAAACAGAAGTGAGTAGACTGAACAAAGCACACAACGCTCTAAAACTAAACCACTCCAGGAAGTCAGCCCGGATGCTGCAGTGCGTGGGAGGCTAAAAGCACCTCGCAGGGCAGCCGTGTTGCATTATTCCAGAAGATGTAGGCTTGACCGCATTTGTATATATATATATATATATATATATATGTATAATGTATAGATGTATATATGTGTTGATGTATACATGTATATATGTATATGTATACACATATATATATATATGTGTGTATATGTATATGTATGTGCATGTCTATGTGTATATATATATATATATGTATACACATGTTTATGTCTGTGTCTATGTATATGCATTTGTATATGTCTCATATATGTATGTGTAGTTATAGGAGCCTGGGTCTCGGTCGATCCGACTTGAAACATCGCCACAAACACGATTAAAGTAGAATATAGTACATTTTAATAGAATATAGTAGATTATAGTATATCATAGCATGTTCTAGTGCATCACAGTAGACTAATTATAGTACGTCATAGGACATTATCATTCTTTATAGTACCCTAAACCCTAAACCCCAAATCCCAAACCCCAAAACCGCAAACCCTGAACCCCAAACCCTAAACCCAAAACCCAAAACCCTAAACCCCAAACCCCAAACCCTAAACCCTAAACCCCTAAACCCTAGACTATAGACTAAAGTAGTAGAACCCTGAGCCTGCAGTGAATGCCCTGGCAATCGCCGGCCCGGGAACGCGAAGCAGCCGACGGGCGGCGAGGGCGCGTGCCGCAGCCATGATCGGCGGATTCCTGGGACTCGGGCTTCGTCTGTTACGGTTTAGTTGGGGTTTAGGGTTTATAGGGGTTTAGGGTTTAGGCGTTTAGGGGTGTAGGGTTTAGGGGTTTCGGGTATAGGGTTTAGGGGTTTAGGGTTTCAGAGTTTAGCTTCCTTCGAGGGTCTGTGTAAGGGTTTCGGGCCTAGAGCGGATACTGCAATCGAGAAGAGTGCTCAGGCTCGTTGTGGAGCTCCCAAGAGCGCAGATCAAAGGTTCCAGAAAGTGTGCGGCCCGGTGGTTTGGGGCACGGCACCTGGCTTCACGGCCCCAGCGTTTTAGGCCTTTTGGGTTGCTTACAACAACTCATTCAGTAACTGGATTCAGGTTTCGCGGTTTAGGGTTGGGGGGTTTAGGGTCTAGGGGTTTCGAGTTTAGGGTTCAGGGTAAGTATGTAGGCCGTACAGAACCACACCTTAAACTCCTGAGCCAAACACCCAGAACCCCGGAATCCTTGATTGAAGCTTCACGGGTAGCTACATGTGAGGCTACAAGTACCTCTATAGGACTCTGGGCTTCTACACGATCATCACGGAAGCTACCTGGCTCATGACCCGGTAATGCCAATCCGGCCGCCAAGGTTCGAATCAACCTCTCCCTTTCGCTTCGACTCGAGCAAGAACGGCTCCGGACAGACAAGGTTCGCAGGGTGTAAGGTCCCAAAAGTACCTATAAAGCAGAATGTAGGGTTTCTAGATTAGGAATCCTTATATTATGATTTGGGAAAGTATCCCCCATAACAGTACCTGGGACCCTTTGGTTTAAGGTGAGAGTTTAGGTTTCAGTGTCTAGCCTGAAACCCTCGGGCCCAAAACAGTCTAGCATAAACCGCCAATGCCCTAAGCCTTGAACTCTAAACCCGAAACTCTAAACCCTAAACCCTAAGCCCCAATCTCTAAACCTTAAACCTCAAACCTGAAACCCTAAACGCTAGACCCAAACCCTAAATCCCTAAAACCTTAAGAGGTCTAGCCCGAAACCCTTAACTCGCACCCTACAACTATCTGGCGTTCAGACCGAGGCTTCAACCCAAGGAGGTCCAAACCGCAACCCTTTTCCTGGGGCTATGGCTTTATAAAGGGGCCTTAATAATTAGAATAGGGTTTTGGGGCCCACAATACTTAACAAAAATTAAGGAACCACCAAAATAGTATAGGTAGTCGTCAAGGCCCCTATATAATCTAAACCCCAGGAACCTAAAGGGTCCCAGGTACTGTTATGGGGGATACTTTCCCAAATCATGATCGGGATTCCTAATATAATGGAATCCCTGCACTCTATAACTACATAAGTACTTTGGACCCTGTGGGAAAAGTAGCCAAATAATTTCACAACGCCTATTCTGCTGGGGTGGGGTTTATGTGCGTAAAGATCTTGGATGGTGTGAAGAGCTTCAGCGGGACTTGCTAAGAGAAACAAGTCAGTGTTGTTTTTCCAGTATGCTGGAGCCTGTACACCATGGACACGTTTCCAAGCGATGTCTCTCAGCAAACCAGACTGACATGCGAGGATCCGAAACTTGCCTTTTGTACGATATCGCAGCAGGATCCTCGCAAACAGGGGTTCCCCAATAAACATGAACGAACCCTAGTTCAGGATCCATAGCCCTGAGCACTATGTTTGGAATATACGCGTTGGCATTAAAGGGTTCTTCGTAGGTACATGGACCCCTTTAGGGTATGTCAGGGTAGACCATATAATATAAGCCATGCAGCATCGCCGTTGACGTCTTCACCCAGTTCAATGGGAGCTCCCGTCATGGCCTGTTTGTGAAAAGGGCTTTATCATACTACTAAGTGTATACAGGCTTTACTGACTAGAGCAGGGGTAGCTATAAACGGCCGACAGTATCAACTTTTCAGCTTGTATGTACTTGTTATCAGGGCTTGTGCTGGTAGTCCGTCTACCTCCACCCTGAATCGGAGTAGATACTTTCTTGATGACTTCTCTTTTTTGTGGTAACCTTCCAAACATGCACTACATTGCAGATCCTAAGCCCTATATGAGCTCAACCCAAACCCTGAAGCAATTCAAGGGTCTCACGGCTTGAAGGGTTCAAGAGCTCTGTGATTTGGTCTGGAGGTTCAGGACCTGGAACCTCCTCGAGAGGGATTTGCTATTTCAGAAATATTGTCCTGCAAGCTTGCCTCCTGCCCACGGTTTGACTTATTGTCATAGATGGACCTCGGGGTTGTCCTTTACAGGAAATCGGGCTTGCTGACATGCCTGGGTCTTCAGCCGTGTGCTGAGGTTTGTGGTTACTCCGCTGGTCACTGCATCAGTACAGATTAGACTTGACTTTGGAGCAACAGCTGCTCATCAAGAACCGCCCGAGTATTGGTAACGAGCCGAGTAAGAGACGGAGCGTACGATAATGGCCAGGACTCTTTGCAAGGACCCCTGAACCCTAAACCCTGAACCACAACCTCATTGTAGGGCATCCAAGCGCGAATGCCCCTCTCCGTTGTGTGAACTCGAGCATCCAGCAAGCTATTGCCAGAAACATAGGTCGGCATAATTACCCCTTTTCCTTTAACTGATTATACAAATTGCAGCTCCTCAAACCCTACTTTCATCATTAAACGCTCGATTCATTCTTTCTTTCATTCTGAATAGTTTGGGCCGCAGGAAAGTCCCCTTACCCCTACACCCGAATAGTGACCTAAGTCCCATACACAGACCCTGAGCATGCAGTGGCCTCCCTCATTCCACCCACCAGCATCGAGCGGAAGTACCTCACTTTCTGCTTTGAACTGACGAAGTGGGGTATGAGACACCTTATTAACTGCTTTGGTAGTTCCAGACAATTAGGGACCCCATGTAGGCATGAACTGATAATCGGATTTTTAAGAGCAGGACGCCTAAATAAGAAACCCTATTTGTACAACCCCAGTGACCCTAGATCTTTCTCCGCATGAATAGTCACCACCAGGTCGATAAGAGGGTCGCCCAAAATTCTGATTAGTCGGAACACCAACTGAAGTACTTCTAACCGTACTTAAGCCCAAACCCCGAAACCCTAAACCAGCAAACTCTCAACTAGAATAACCTCAATCCCGACTACACACAGTCAAGTTTCTGGGCTCCAGGGTACCAGATTTCGAGTCGCGAGCCCGGGACAAAAACCAGCCATCCAGGTTTTGAGCTGTGGGCAGTAGGGTGTAGGGGCCCTTCAGAAATTTACCCTGACCCCTAAACCCTAAACCCTGAACCCGAAACCTTCAGGATTTGGATTTAGGCCTTTAGTAGGGGCCCTTCAGAGTAGGCCTTTAGCCCCGGATCCTTCCCCTAGCACAAAAAAGAACAAAATGCAACCCAGAGACCCACATTTCGGGCCCCAAAAAGCACGTAAGCAAAACTTTGGATAGGGATCTCCCATATAAAACCTGCTTAGAATGAAGCCCAAGAAGGTACCAAAATGCTGATGCCCTAAACCCTAAACCCTAAACCCTAAACCCGAAACCCTAAACCCAAAACTGCATGTCCTGTTTGAGTCCCTAACTAAACGCCTTCACTGCAGGGCTCCCCCAGAAGACGGAACCCGAAAGCAAGCACTCTGGGATGTATGTACCGTCATGGCGGTAAACATATGAAGCCACTCACCTAGCTGCGGGAGAATACCACTTCCCGTCAGCGTCGGAGAGTTCAGGTTTGAGTAAGCAGTACAAGCTTGCGAGGTTGTCGGGCAAATGGGAAGGCTAGTCCGAAGTATATAGTATCTATCTGAAGTGCTTACATAGGCACACATTCTGGCAAAGGGATATGCAGACATAATCCTCGCTAGGGTTAGGCAAACAAGAAGCTTCAGGGCTTAGGGCTTCGTTTCGGACCCTGAGTCTCGCATCCTCGGCACCTGCTGTCCCAAACTGACCTTACTAAACGGTTTAGGGCTTCGGGTTTTAGGGCTTAGAGGCTTAGAGTTTAGGGCTTCTGGGTTCCAACACGACGTCTCAAACCAGATCCCCCTGAACAATGCAAATGGGGACCACACCGGCCCCCTTCTTTCACATCACTACACCCTCAACCCAGAAGAGTCCAAACTACTAAACCTAGAGATCTACACCACATACCTGCAAAGAGTTGGCTTTGCACCACGAAGCATGACACGGTGTTCAGATCTCACAATCGATGTTCGGCGGACTCCACTTTATGTCGGACATTGCACTCCTACTCCAAAAGTCCCTCACGGTGACTTCACGCGCGCCTGGTCTTCGTGCGCTAAGCCGTTACCCTAACCCTCCAGGTACCTACTATATAGGGCCCTCGGGGCTCTAGTACCCTCTATAGTAGGTACCTGGAGGGCTAGGGTTAAGCTTACAACACCCTGGGGTCCGCACGCGCTTCTCGCCTCGAGTATCCGCCCATCTGCACGGAAAACGCGGCGATCGCGGCCTTCCCCGAGGTTGGCTGAAGGAAGGTCAGCTGAACTGATGAGGGATGAGGTACCGGGCTCTTTAGGGTTTCTTTGCCACGGGTTTGAGACGACGATGCCGAAGGATGTCGGGTTTGGGTGGGTGACACCCACCGAGCGTCATGAGACAAGAAACCAAGCACATTAAACAGTGAAGACCCGATGTCAGACACATGTTCGCAGCTTTCACCACCGAAGGACTCTACTTATACCTATACAGTTTTCATTGTAGTTGCTGGTTACCTTATACCGAATCTTTCTTATAAAGAAACTGGTTCTACCAAACAAAAAGGAACTACGCTGCAGAACACAGCAGGTAGGGACTCAGGGTCTATGAAATCCAAGGCTTACTAAATATGGTTCCGGTCTCAGGGTCTTGCCTCGAGGCTTCTTGCTTCAATACAGGGGTGTCGGAAGTTTATCAGGCTAGGGGTTCACTGGGGATCAGCATGAGGGTTTAGGGTTTAGGGTCTTTAAAGAAATAATTGGGACAAGACATCGAAAGTAATGTGTTCTTACTTCGGGGCGTATGTTGTGCTATACTGTACCCACA